GAAATGAAAATGGACAAAATCAAAAATGATATTTCCCAAAGTATTTAACCACATATCTATAATGAAAATAAACTCTAATTTTTAACAAACTTTCCATCTTATCACTTTTTATTAATAACTATAAAAATATAAATATTCATCAATTGTGTAAAATATTTAAAACCTATACTTATAAATATGTATTTATTAAATAAAGATCATTGAAATATTTTTTATTATAATTATTAGTAAGATATAAACTTATTATAAATATGTATTCATCGAATGATGATCATTGAAATATTTTTTAATATAATTATTAATAAGATTTATTTCATTTAAAATATAAAATTTACTTGTATTGAATGGTTTCATTAAAAAAATATTTTTTTAATTTTAGTAGTGTTGTATAATTTAAATATTAATATTTTAAATTAATTTTTTTAAAGTTAAATATTAATATTTTTATTTTTAATATTTAAGTTAAATATTAATATTCATCAACTTTATACTCATAAATTTAATATAAAAGTGTTTTCGTTGTTCTCTGGATTTGTTAACTCGTAAAATGTTTGATATCTGGAATTAGTGTTACGTCTTCCAAACAAGCATAAATACTAAAAATATTTTTCAGAAAATATTTTACTGAAAAACAAACAGACCCTTATAGTGCTTTCATTCCATGATTTAGTGTTCAAAATTTCAGTGGTGAGTATAGATGTTCATTGGCCATAAAACATCAAAAGGAGATGTAGCAGGCATTTGGTGGTAGAATTTTTGCCTTTTACTGTGGGTTGATTGTATTGTAGTTATTCCTTTTTGCATTATCCAAAATTTTCTAATAAATGTGATTTTGCAATGTAACACCTCTTACCCTCATATAGAAGTCAATAAGACCTTATCGATAAGACGAAGGGTCAATTGATGTAAATTTAAATGTGAAAGAGCGGTGATGGGTGAAAGAAGTATTTTTAAAGAAAATATTTCGCATGCGAGAAAATAATAATAATAATATTATTATTATTATTATCGAGGATGAAGTAACAAGTTAAAATGCGATTTGAAAGTGAATAGGGACAAAGTGAGATACTTTAGGACCCGAGAAGATAAGTGGATGATTTTGAAATAAAATAATATTTTATTAATAAAATATTATTAAAATATTCATATTTTTTCTGTTGTTGAAATTATTCATGAAGGAATATTATATGGCTAATCTAATTGGGGTAGAAGGAAAACGAAAGAATTTCGAAGAAAAACGACAAGTGGGGCTCATGTGCCTTTATTTAATAAAGTAAGAGCGAGTAAGTATGTATTTAAATATTATGGTGATACCTTGGTGAAGTGTGATTTTGGTATTTTATTTGTATAAGTGTAAAGGAAGAAGGAAGGAAATTAGAATCAAAGAAATGATTGAAGGACCAAATTGTAAAGGATGAAAAATTTGAAGGGTCGAATGGTAAATAAGGAAAAGTTCGAGGACTTATGTATAATTTCAACATTTGAAGTTAAATAACAATTAACTAACCAAGGAAAGCTAGATTATGTGGGATAGTGAGATGTGTATGTAAATTTACTATCACATGCAAATGATAGCATGCAGAAAGGAGAAAGTTAGTGGAGAATATGTGGGACGTCCATCATGTGAAGTGAAAGGAAGAATGAGTTTAAATCTATTTGCATGTAAAGAGACTGGTGCATTAGGTGGTCAAATGGGAAAAGGAAAATATAAGATGTATGTGACTTGAATAGATTAATGAATGATTAAATAAAATATAAGGTAAAGGTGGTGCATGAAATAGGATTGGAGGAATAAGGTGGTGCATAAAATAAATAATAAAAGGAAGAAAAGATGAGAGAGTGAAGGTGGCAGATGGATAAGTTTAGTGAGGATAGATAATGGACCAATGAACAAGAGAGGAAATTGGTGCATGAAGAATCATTAGATGGCAAGCCAAATGAGAATAAAAGGTAAATTGATGCATGTGTTGTGATAGGTTCCAAAGGGTGGTCAAATGAAATAAGAAGAATAAGAGTGCATGTGTTTTGATTGGTCTAAAAGGGTGGCCAAATAAAGTAAAATAAAGAGAAAATGAATGGCAAAAAGGTAGATAAACGGTTAGGGAAAGACAACATCCATTTTTTCCCAAGTTCCTTTTAAATTGTTCAGGGAGGAAGGATTTCTTGCCTTTTCTTCCATTTCACCCATTCTTTGATCTTTAGAATCTCAAAAGTACACATGCACACATGTTTTAAAGAGTGATTCAAGGGCATTTGAAGAAATATCAAGTGGGTCTCAAGGCATTTTAGAGAAGAAAGGAGATATCAAGTGAAGGCTCAGTTTTGTAGAAATCTAAAGAAAAATCGTGAGTTCATTCCCTTCGTTATTGTTGGGTTTTTTATATCATCACCAAAGAAATCTTCAATGTTCAAGAAGAGAACCGTGGAGTTTTAAAAGAGATGTAGAACTTGATTTTAAAATACAAGAGAAATAAGGTAAGATTGTGGTTTTAGCTTGAATGATCTTTCAAAATGGATTGGTAACTATAAAAAATATTTTGTGGCAGCAAAGATTAGCTTGATTAGAGAAGATTTAGTGACATGCTAGCTATTAAAACCGTGAATGTATGATGAATTCAAAGTGAAAGAGAAGTGGTAAGCGTAATACTATGTTTTAAGTCCTACGGTTGGTAAAATTTTTAAAGAAATAATTTGTGAATCATGTTAGCAACTTGATGATTAAAGATTTTGAGGAACATTGGAGTGCATATGCAGATCAAGCAACCTTAAAGGTAAAAATGAATAATGTTTTAAATATAGTTGAGAGATCTTGAAAAATAGTTATTATTGTGTGGTTGGAATTTTGAAAGGCACATTGTGAGGAATAGTGGTTGTTGAAAGACTCTAAAATACATGAGCTAGTTGAAAATGTTGAGTTTGCTTGGTATGTTATTTGAAAGAAACAATGAGGAATAATGTGGTTAATATTATAAAAATATAAGATGGATATGAATGAAAGTTGCTTGGAAAAGTTGATGTGTCCACCTATTTGCCATTTATTTTCTCTTTATTCTACTTTATTTGATCACCCTTTTAGACCAATCAAAACACATGTACTCTTGTTCTTCTTATTTCATTTAGCCATCTTTTGGAACCAATCACAACACATGTATCAATTCACCTTTTATTCTCATTTGGTCATTTTGTCGTCCAATGATTCTTCATGCATCAATTTCCTTTCTTGTTCATTGAGCCATTATCTATCTTCACTAAACTTCTCCATCCGTCACCTTCATTCTCTCATCTTTTCTTCCTTTTATTATTTATTTCATGTATCACTTTATTCCTCCAATCTTATTTCATGCATCACTTTTACCGTATATTTTATTTGATCATTCATTAATCTATTTAAGTAACATACATATCATATTTTTCTTTTCCCATTTGGCCACCTAATGTATCAATTTCTTTACATGCAAATAGATTTAGGCTCATTCTTCCTTTCACTTCACATAGTGAAGGTCTCACATGTTCTTTACTAAGTTTTTCTTTTTTACATGCTATCATTTGCCTGTAATAGTGAATTTACACGCACATCTCATTATCTCACATAATTTAGCTTTTCTTGATTAGTTAATTTCTATTTAGCTTCAAATGTTGAAATTGTACATAAGTCCTCAAACTTGTTCTTATTTACCACTCGATCCTCCAAACTTTTCATCCTTTATAATTTGCTCCTTCAATTATTTTTTTGATTCTAATTTCCTTTTATCTTTCTTCCTTTACACTTATACAAATAAAATATCAAAGTCACACTTAACCAAGGTATCACCATAATATTTAAATATATACTTACTTACTCTTGTTTTATTAAACAAAGGCATGCGGGCTCCACTTAGATCGTTTTTCTTCAAAATTCTTTCGTTCTTCTACTCCCCATTTAGATTAGTCATATAATCCGCCTTCATGACTAATTTCAATAACAAATAAACTATTAATATTTTAATATTATTTTATTTTAAAATCCTCCACTTGTCTTCTTGGGTCTTAAAGTATCTCACTTTGTCCTGGTTCACTTCCAAATCGCATTTTGACTTGTTACTTCATCCTCGATAATATTATTATTATTCAATTATTATTTTCTTGCATATAGAATATTTTGTTCCAAATTACTCATTTCACCTATCGCCACTCTTTGACAATTAAATTTACATCAATGGACCCTTTATCTTATCAATAAGGCCTTATTAACTTCTATACAAGGGTACGGGGTGTTACATACATGATGTTATTAGGACTGGTCAATTGTATCCAAAGTTTTTGTCATATCAGCTAAATAGATTCTCAGAGTCTCTCATTGGGCCCTAGATTGAGATGGTTGGTAGAAGGTTAAATAGCATCCTGCTTAAGATAGCTAGATGAAATAATCGACTGTTTTTATAATTTTTATTATGTTAGAGCCAGAGAATCTGTAGAGAAAACTGTCTTGTTGCCCAAAACTGTTTAAATCCCTCCACACAACAAGCATAAAGTTACCATGTTCTCTCATTCAGCTTCTTCCAGTGAAGTCCGCAAAGCTTTAAAGGATGAACATCTTCAAAAACTCATCTCTGATATTGATAGCTCCCCAGATGCTATGAATGTGAGTGCTGTTATTCCGACTTGAAAACTGAGACCTGAGACATTTAATTATCATTTTGGTTGATGTTGTCCATGTACTTGCTAAATTTGATTTTACCTTCTGTTAGGAACTTGACAAAGCTATGGGGGTGGATGTATTCCGCATTTTCAGTGATAAGGTACTTAAAATCTTCAACTGTTTGTGCAAGTCTTCTTTTCTGCTTAACAACATTCATCAGTCCTTGTTCAGTTTCGATATGAATGTCTGATAGTTACTGACGAGAATTTGGTAATGTTCCAAAGCCAACTGCCATTGTTTTCTCTGTTATCAGATTTTATCTGCGATCAACCCATGACCACATATTGTCATAGCAAGCAAAAAGATGTTTGTACTGGAAGGCTCGTATTTTGGAAGGTCTTTCGCTGACTCTACCGGATGTCAATATAATTATGTCCAAGTTTTGTGTGATTGTAGAGAAGTTATCCTGCCGTCTTGGCTCGAGCCTGGTCAGGGGATGATGTTTCGTTAAGTTGAGAATGGAGGCTGATTAAATGTATTAATTGGCTAAACTCTTCCTTGGGTTTGCAATCACATTTTTGTTATGTGGTGTCATGTGCAGAGTTTATATCTCAATGAAAATGCCAGCTATGGGCTTTCTTAATCTCTGTTAATAGTTCTTTGTTTTCCCCGTCAATGTATAGTAAATTAGAGATGTATAAGTAAGAAAGAAAAGTTGAGGAGAGAGATTGACAATTTGGCGCTCTGTGTTTTCTATCTCAGTTGAGTACATGTGCACATGTGCAATGATGGGTTGCTTTTGAGAATGAGGTCTCGGGCTGCGATGATGAGAAAAGTCAAGCTCAGCTCTTCAAGGAGGGCCTGTAATTGTCCCAATCAGAGTGAAACGAGGGGCCTATGATCTATTACATGAACTGAACGTAGACACATATTGTCTTCTCTACACGACTATGATATTGAGAGGTCATTCTCTTAAGTCTTACCCAATGCTGGTCAACGTGCGTTTTCTTCTTGCCTCATTATCTGCTATTCCAAAATGTTCAGATTGCTTCTACAATTCTGCCCCTCAGTTTCAGTTATAGGTCCCCAATTTTTTGTCTGTTCCACTTGCACAGTTGACTACAATTAACCTAAATTATCTCCAGCACATATTGATTACGATTATGGCTGAGTGGTCCTGCTTGTGGCATGCTCTTTGATTGCTGAAAAGATAACAATGGCGCACCCACGCTTTTCTCAAATGCACCTTTTTAAGGTCCAGAGACTTGGGGGCAAAGTTCAACATGAGCTCACAGAATATTAAAGGTCCCTCATGTGGGTCATTTTAAGGTTCACAAGATAGCTAGGCTGCAGCTGAGACCGGTGTACAAATTGAAACCTCAAGGGAATATGTTCTTTTCAAAGTTCCTCTTGATAGTTCCTCTAAATCTTACGTCCCCTGTTGATCAACTCCAAAATATACATTCGTAATGGACCACAATTCGACGAATAAGCTGATCGATGAAGACAGTTTTCTGTTCATACTTTCTTCGATGGTAGCCTATGGATAACGTTTTCCTCAATTGGGGGCTGTGTCGGCAAACCAGAGCCATCCCAGCAAAGCAAAGATGGCCTTTTTTTTATTTTTGGTTTTGTTTTGTTTTGTTCGTAAATTTTAATTAAAACAAACTATATAACCAAGTATGGGGAAAATGTTGGAGAAAACAGAGGCGAGAGTCGTAACCGGAAGGTAAGGAACTATTTCTATGGTGGTGTAATAATTACATGTTAGCTGTGTTATAACAAATTAGCTAATTGAAAAACGTTGCTCTCAGATAGAGAGGCAGTTCTCTTACACTACAAAACTTTTAGAAAGGCGAGAACCTTTCCCGGACGCACAACTGTCAACCTGCAATGCACAGGAACTCTATCTTCAATTTTGTATGTTATGGATTCAAAGGAATACACAAGCAACAGTCCACCAGAATTGAGAACAGAATCTGCTATCAGTCCGAAATGAGAGTAGCTAGCCCCAACTTAGCCAGCCAGCCAAGATATTAGCCGCTACCGTGTCATTTCACCTTCATCCAACAAAGTTAATTAGAAACCACACGTGATCAGGCAATAAGTGAACTTCTAATTAAGTGCTAATGAATATGTCCCAATCCTCCTTGGAACTGACATGGCTCATCACAGTTTAACTTGATTCCATTGTAAAAGTGGACTTCTATCTAATTGGTAAGACCATGTCAGTCAAAGTGGAACCAGAGAATATGGTTTGAAAGTTGGCTTCTTTTCATGTCAAATGCTCAAGACTGCACATGCATGCGCAAATGATTAGTGGCGGTCATGGCATGGCATGTACTGTCTTCTCATTTCTTATAAGCATACTCTTGTAAATAGCCATCTTGTAATAATGTGGAACTAGAAAATAATGGACCTACCTGATGGGTGATTTTTAAGATTCTCAGCTCCCCTACTGCTACTTGGTTTACGGGAACTTGGCTGGGCCATTCCTTGACTCTGCAAAAGGTGAAAAACATATTCAATACTTCATACTCGCAAAGCAATTCTGATGTTTCAATATGATTGACCAGGCATTAGATCAGACATCTGAAGAAACTTTTTCTTTAGGAAAATAAAAAAGAACAAAATATATAGAATTAAGTTTGTGAGTTTCCAAGAAACCTTCTTCAACAAATTGTCAAGAGTCAATAAAATCGAGCCTAGACCATAGCTGAGAAAGCTCTGAAAATGGACTTCCATGTATTTTTTATTTTTGTTCTGAACGAAGTTACAATTCAATTGATGATAGATATACAGAAGGTTCGAGGTCAAAATAATAGACATTGATGCCCTAATTTCGAAGCAAAATGACATTCTAAACGTCACCTGGAGTGGGGGTAATTGCATCTGTTGAAGACCAAGATATTGCTGATAAGGATCAGCAAAATTTGGAGCCCGTGGCTGGGTTGGATTTTGCATGCCAAGCGTGTTTAGCATGGCTTCTGACTGATTGTTTGGTTGGATTCTTGATGGATCAGGAGGTGGAACTGGTGGTGGCATATGAAAGGCCGGCAGAGGAAACCTTGGACCCAAATGAGCTGCAGCAGCTGGTGTTGGTAACACTGAACCGGCTAAAACGTTGGGAAATGGCAGCATTGGCCGACTTATTCCCATATCCATGCCCATGCCCATTCCAATTCCCATTCCCATTGTTGGCATGTACTGCTGAACTCCAGGAAACATCATTGGGACCATGCCACAACCCATGGACATCATCTGCAGAAATTAGTTAAAATCTAAATTTTGTCATAAATAATGCACAGGCTAGTTCTCTAAGATATAAAACAATTCTCATTAAATGAAATGTTAAAAAAAACATAGCAATCATATCCCAGCTGATCATAGGATGCTGCACACGTCCATAAGTTAGCCTTTTGGGGAAAGGGTAATGGTTCCACGAAAAAGAGATATCAAAGCTAACCTGAACCCGACTTTGATGTCACACTAAGCACTCCAATGGGTGGAGTAAGTAGGGTGGCTCAACCCGCAACGAAAGCATCGTTGATTCGGATGGAGAGAATATTACAGAATCCCACATCGGAAAGTAACAGACAGGTCCCAAACTTATAAGCGTGGGCACAACACATCCTATTAGGTTAGCCTTTTGGGAGAAGGTAATGGGCTAATGGCCTTGTGACACTATCCCCAGCATAAGAACACTGGAGCTAATACAGAACAAAATACTCAAACTCCTCTTCCTTACCTTTTAGAGAGACTGCATTATTCTCAATTGTAGAATTCTGAAATTTCATCCAATCAAGACAGAACATTTAACAAAAGCCACACAGTTAGCAACATGGAGATATAAGAGAGGGTGAGATAGATAGTGGAAGAGTGAGGCTGGCATTAATTTTGGTAATGAATACCCTTGTTAGACAATAATAAGATTCTGCAGGATGTCAACATAACAATTTGCAAAAGCAGCGGATTTGCTGCAGAAGTCAACTCCTGAAGTATTTGATTGAACAAAGTTTTCTTCAAACACATTAAAATAAATAGAAGAATTACTGGTTCAGCTCCAGTGCTAATTTGTTCTTTGGTGTTTACCAACATTCTTTTTTTTTTTTTGTGGTTGGAACACAATTTCAACATACATGTTCTTAATTTAATCATCTTCTTGCTTGGGGAAAAAAGGAAAGACAAAGATTCAAAATTCAAAATTTATCTACTCATCTAAATCAAGTAAAAATAATGTTCCCAAAAAAAATCTTGCGTCTTGAGCTTGGTTGTGTGTGGTGAATCTTATTATCTTTTATTCACTTCAATGGCAAAGGTCCCTGTCATTTAACAGTTCCATAAACATTCACAATAAGGCAGGTGATAGATTATTGATTAAGGGCTTTCTAGAACCGTAGCATTAACGTATGATCCTCACATGTTACAAAAAAACATGTATCCTAATGAAAAAAAGACAGCAGTTACTTGCATTTCGGCCTTTCGGCCTTTTCCAGGAGAATATTGAACAAAAGGTTAATAAACCTGTTAAATCACTCCATGAATAAACAACTTTCAAAATGGAGTTTTAGAAACAATTAAACATCTTTGCAAAGGTTACACATATTACTAGGGCACAAATTCAAGAACCTCTCAGGAACATAAACTCATAATCTCTCATTAACTATTAAGCAAAGACATACCTGAACTTGCAACTGAAGTGACTTCAGGTATTCAATTGCTTCATCCAGCATTGAAGCTTTGTCTGACTGAGACTCAGAAATAAGCAATATGTTAGAAACGGGCAGAGTAATATAAATATGAGGAAAATTGAATCCTCAACTGAAAGTGCAAAGATGAGGGAATCATACACATGACAAACCTTGTTGCAACGAGGTATAAGTTCTTGCAAAGCCCTCATCTTTTCATTTATCCTATCTCTGCGTCTCTGCAGATAAATGATACTTTAAACCTCTACAGGAATGTAATTGCACAGAAGTAGACCAAAATCATCAACAGTAATATAATGTCAATAAAATACTGACCCTCTCTGAGAGGTTATGGACCTCCGCAGCACGAGACCTTTTTGTAGATGTGGATCCACGTGTTTGTTTCTTTATGTCAGCGGATTCAAACTCAGCATCCTTTGGCAACAATAAAATTACCATTATAAAGAAAGATGAATTTTGAAAGAAAGAAAAGGGGATGAATGAAGTCACAGATCGTTTTTTCAACACATTAAAACATACATATAGTACCATCTTAAATCTCAACATACTCATGGTACTGTATAGTTTCCACAAAGAGATTGCTTGGTTTAAACACCCCTCATGAGTTTACCATACGAGTACTTCAAAACTTGTGTAACTGACTGCCCTTATAAGGTGTGGCTTCTTAACTGACTTAGACCTGAGGATCTCAGTCTTTCTATCATGAAATTATACACTTGGTTGCACATTTAGGCATCGAAATGAGTCACACCTTGGAAAACTGTAACATTGCACCAGGACTAGGCTATATATATTCTCCACACTTTTTCCATTTTAACCTTTCCCTAATTCAGTTAAACCATAAACAACATGATCCCCTGGCCCCCTTCTTTTTCCCGAAGAAGAAAAGAAATATAGATTGATGCTTCCATAATTAAAATTTACTTTGGTTCCCAGCGTATAAAATCTACATTCTCTTTCTCTGTTTCTTTATTTAGGAAAACTAGACTTAAAATCTATCGTTCTCCTCCTTTTTTTTCTTTATTTTACTCTCTTCATGAAAATCTGTTTTTTATATTTATTGTTTTAAACAAAGTATCACCTTTACATCCACAAAAAAGGAAGAATTATACAAATGGCTTATGATCAATTTTAGATATGTTAATATCAAAATTCGATCTCAAAACTAGTCATGTAGATTAGGGAAAGAAGTCCATGAGCAATTAAATAATGTGTCCTACATCCCAGCATCTAGGTATGCAAAATAGCTGATTCTTTGAGAACTCCCAGGCAGTGCACCCCCAGCGTAAAAAAAAAAAAAGAAAACATAGAGAAGCTAACATTGGGCTTAACTATAACAGCTAAATACTAGAGAATGTTTAGGCATTTAAACAATAAAAATATCCACCAAAAAGAAAAAGGAAAAGAAACTATCCAAAAGCTAACTGACAACGACGAGGAGACCAGTCCCGTGATACGCGCCATCAATCCAAAAAAACTCTTATTTTAAATTCATTTTTTTCACTCCCACTTGACACTGCCAACCTCCTCCCTCCTCCAATCATCAAACTCGTGTCAACCTCCCCTCCGGTGTTCGTACACGTGGCACATCCTAACTCGATTCGCGTGACACGTGTACAATTCCCAAATTATACGGCCAGTGACAAAAATAAGCGGTGCTCACGTTAAACGGGGTAACCTCCGGCGTACGTTAGTCGAGAAAAAAATTACACTGCCTGAGAAAAAAGAGATTTTTTTTTAAACTTCAATGGACTAACCTCGCTGTGACATTCGGCGTCGTCCGGTTCTATTCCTTTACGCTTGCGGTCCTCAGCCGGCGCAGCCTTTTGAGTCGCCTGCTCCGCGCTGGCACTGGAGCCGCCTGGCGATGACGTTACTGTGACCTCGCACGTGGCCAAATTGTCTTTGGTGGCACCTACACTGACGCCAGCTGATTGCCTGCTGGCAACTGCAGCGGCGCTCACGGTGGCGCATGCATTGTTGTTGTTCCCGCCAGATGCTGCCTCGGTGTTGCTCGGCACAGCCTGAGAGGCTCTCGACTCTGGAGCCATCGCCGGAGTATCGCTCGAGTCAACGACCGTCGATTCCCTCACTACACTCTTCGAATTAGACGGTCCAGATTGCTCCACCGTCGCAGTTTTATGCCTCGAGAAGTGAACGAAGTTCTTGGTCCTCGTCGGCTCCGACCCATTCCTCCTCGCCGGTGGTATCGCCGGCCTAGGAGCTGACGCCGCCGCCGCCGCCGAAGCAGAAGCCGAAGCCGAAACTTGAGAAACTCTTCCGAGTGGAGGAGGAGCGGCGGTGGCGGTGGAGGTGATGCAAGGAGTGGCGGCGGCGGCGGAAGAAGAAGGATAGAGGAGATCAGCGCAGAAATCGTGGTCGAAGTTGGCGTCGTTGAGAGGATAGTGAAGCCATGAAGCCATTTCATCTTCTTGCATGAAGAGATGATCGGTAATCGATTGCTGCTGCTGTTGCTGATGATGTTGATGATGAGATGAAGATGATCGGATCTCCTTCGGAGCTGATTGATCGGCGTCGTGGAATTTGAACGGCGGTGATTTCTTGAAAGATCTTTGGTTTTGACTCTGCACAACAACTTGACCGTTTTGCCATAACAGCTCCATGATTTCATCTTCTGGCCTGTTTCGTAATTTCATCATCAGTTTATCCCTTGACAATTCTGGAAATAAGAGATATAAACCAAAAGCAGAAGAAGAAGGAAGTGGCAGCAGCTTACATGGGAGGTTTTTTGGGGCGAGTTAAACTAGAAGAAGAAGGGATTGAGTAATCGTCTCCCATTTCGAAATCGGGAACGCAGTGATGCATCCTCTACTCTCTTTTTCTATTATTATTATTATTTAATTTTCTAACTTTATAACCTACAAAAGCAATCAAACGACTCAACTTTAAGCAAACCAAATAAAGCAAAGAAAAAAAGTTATGACCACTATCACAGGAGAAAAACTCACCTGGATTATTTAAGCTATCAAAATCAATTAGAGAATTGTTTTTCTTCTCTTGAAACTCCAAAAGAACAAACGCCGAGTGTTATTTTGGTTGATATTTCTGCTGCTGCCGATGATGAATAACAAACCCTAGAGAAAAAGAAAATATTTGAAAATCTAAATCCATGTGAAGGGACAAAGCTCTCTAACGTTGTCGTCTTAATAAACAGAGAGAGGGAAAAGGGAGGAGAAGAATTTCTCTGTTCTCTGTGTGAGTGTGCGTGCTCTCCTTTTAATCTTTTTGAGAAGATTTTCTCTCGGCTCTAGTATTTTCCCTTTCGCCTTTTGCGTTAAATGTCTTTTGCAGGCAGCCCTAAGATAAGGTCCTCTCTCTCTGCCTCTGTCTCTGTCTCTGGCTTTCTCTTCTCTGCTTTGCTCTCTCTCCGAATAATATGAAGCAAAAGACGAAATGGATTTTTGACAGTATGCAAACCAACGCTCTCTCTCTCTCTCTCTTTCCTCCTTTTCTTATAACTACCAGTAGTATAATTATTATGTGAAAAATATTAAAATTAAAGGAACGAAAGGCGATGAGTTTGATGTAATGTTAAGGTGTGATATGAGCGGTGAGCGCTAGGTTAAGAGTATAAACTCAATCGCAATCGGATGCCCAAAATCGTTGTGTTGACGACCCCATCTCTGTGTCGACAAATTGACACCAGTGGCTATGTGGGGGCCTCCTTGCACTAATTTATACTTCCATTATCGCATGGTCAAATTGTATTTCCCTACTCCCCCCTTCCCCACCTCGCCTTTCTCTTTTTTTATGGAATCATTTAATCATATATTAATTTTTTTTATTAATAAAAAAAATAAAAGTAAATTCATTCGACCATGAAAGTGCTGCATTACAGTTCAACACCTACGTAGCTGTCTTTGGTTCAAGTCCAGTCGGTTTCGCTTCCTTTATTATTTCTTCTTTTTTCTCTCTCTCGCTCTCTCGTTTTAGTAATTATGCATAATTACGAAATTAAAAGGAAAAAATAAAAATAAAAATAAAAATAAAAGCTAGAGATTGAATTGGTTGGTATCTGCCAGCTAAAGATGCATAAGCAAGGAATGAAGAAAGGAATTTAGGATCGAATATATCTGTCTAATTCTATCCTTTTAACGAAAAATGCAATACAGTAGTGATAGGGATTTGGCCTAATTACCTACGTGGTGCAACAAATGGATGCGGCTGTACTTTCCAACTAGTGAGCAGTATTTTGACAAAATGATGATAATGATTTTGTCTCTGTTAATTACGAATTACATTAAAATTACTGATTCCCTTTGCTCCCTTATTATAATACTCTTTGTAATTGCTAGTTATGTGCCTGTGTTGACGCCAAATTTGATAACCAAATGCTGTATGTAGATTCAACAATAAATTAAGGCTTAGATTTAATTATTGTTTAAAACAATGATTGCAAACTTAGCCATACAAGTAAATAAATTGAAAAAAAAATAATTAAATAATTGATGGAATGCGAGTGGGGGGTTTGCTTTAAGTAGAAAATGACAATTAACGGTAAACTGTCTTGTGATGTCAAGCTAATTAACGCTTTATAATTCACCTTTCTCTAAGTATAACAATGGAGCGGACTCACTTGTGCACATCTCTTTTTAATTCCCCCCATGTAAATGAATTTAGTTAGCCTTAACCTAACTTTTAAATTTCTTTTATTTTTCTCTTTCCTTGAATAAATGGTGTGCGTTTAACGCTTCATTTTGTTAAACTTAAAACTTCATTTGAATCTAAATTTTAATTTGACAAATAAAGTGATCAAAATTGTTTTTCAAATATTCAAATAAGTCTAGACAGTTTTTTAAAAATGTCTAATAAAAGAGATAAGCACTTTAAATAAAACAAAAAACAAAAAGTCTCTTTAAACTTGAAAAATACTACTAATTTATTAATAGATGTTCTTTATATATCGATAGATGATCTTATCTATTATCGATAGATGATCTTATCTATTAATAGATGAAGAACATCAATCGATGGTAGATTGTTTTAGCAGCTGGACTTCAACGATTATGGATATCTATCAATAGATGCCGCGTATCTATTAATAGATTGTCATCACAAACAACACAAAAGGATCCTGACTTGAATCTATTAATAGATACACAGTATCTATCAATTGATAGGCACCCAAGAACATTGCAAAAGGAGCTTGACTTGCATCATTGATAGATAGCCATCCAAGGATGCTTCAAAATGATTCTAACTTGAATCTATCAATAGATACTTAGATGGCGTTTGGTACTTTACAATGCAATGTGATTACAAGTAAGCGATTGCAGGTAATGTGATTGCAAACAATGTCATTGCAGAGAAAATAACATTACAATGTTTGGTATAAAAGCAAAATAATGATTAAAATATAGAGAAGATAACATTACAGTATTTGGTTTACAAGTACTTTGTTGGGAATGTAATGTTAATTTTCAAAATTATCCCTAGTTATTAAAATACAAGTTTAATGTATTTTATATTTTTTATTATTAATTTTTATATAATATCATCTCTTAAATATATTTTTAATGTCATATATTTTATTTTCATTTATTATTATAATCTTATATATTTTATTTTCATTTCTTTAATATAATTTTTTATATTATAGATTTTATTTTAATTAATTTTACCTATATTATATAAATTTTAATTTTTTATAATTTATTTTATTTTAATTTTTGATTCTTATATTATATATTTTATTTTAATATTTTTTATTTTAATTATAATATTATAAAATATTTTTAATAAAGTAATAAAGTTGAAGGGTAAAAATATCTTTAAAAATATTACAAAATGCAATGAAATGTGATTGCATTAATTTTGGACTGCAATCACATTACATCACTTGGTTGTAATATGATTGCATTGCAATCTTATATTGTAGTGGTCTGTTGCAAAACAAACACTGCAACGTAATTTAATTAGGCATATTACAAGGAATGTACTCTTACTTCCCTCATACCAAACGCTACCATATATCTATTAATAGATGAGTAGGAATTTGAAGATTATTAAAAGGAATCTATCGATAGATCGAGAGACCTATTAATAGATGATGACCATTAGAGCTTGAAATAGTGAGCTAAACAGTTATTTTCACATTTAATGCACACTCAACTACATCTAAACCTTCAGTAATTATAATTCAAGCCCCCACAACATTTTTTAAGGTTGAAAGACTTTGAAACACAACTAAAAATAGAAGAATTCAACAAAAATCATTAAATATTCTTTATACTTTTCTCCAAGCCTTTAAGTCTTCTATTGTAGCATTTATTGAGCATTCATTGCTTGTTCTTTTCTTCACCAAATATTGTACTTAATTTGTTATTCAGCCTTTAAGAGGCATTCTAGCTACATTTACATTTTTCTCATTATATTCACTGAAGTGGCTATACTTTTACCAACATAACAAGTAGAGTTATTATGCTTTAATCTTAAAAAGGTATTGTCTTGAAAAGTTGTACTTGATCCAGAAAAAGTATTGTATTGAATTTTAATTCAATAGTGGATTTTAAATTCCTTAGTGAATCTAAGGGAGAGGATATAAGTAAGAGGCCGAACTTTTACAAAACTTTATTGTGTTGATTTTTCTTCCTTTTTACTTGTTTAATTTCATTTTCATTTCCCACATTTCTTAGTTTTCAAGAAGTCAATTGTCTTGTTTATTTTTAAATTGGGGATTTGGATCAAGAAAATTTTATTTTTTTTAAATTAAGAAAAAGGATCATCAAAAATGCAAAACATTATTCCAATTCACCCCCTCTTAAAATTAATTACGTGGAGCTTATTGCACTAACACATTTGATTTTAAGTTTTGATTTGATAAATAAGTGATCAAAATTGTTTTTTAGATATTCAAACGAGTCTAAACGGTCCTTAAAAAAGTTTTAATGAAAGAGTTAAGTGCCTTAAATTGAAAACAAGTAAAAATGCTCTTCAAATTGAAAATCTGCCTTCAATCTATTAATAAATGTTCTTCATCTATTGATAGATAGGTTTATCTATCGATATAAAATGAAAATCTATGAATGGTTGGTCATTCTAGCATATGAACCTCAAAGGCTTTGAACATATATTAATAGATGTACAGCATCTATTGATAGATAGTTATCTAAGAACAATTCAAAGACACCCTAACTTGCATCTATCGATAGATGGCCACCAAAGAGCATTCTAAAGAACCTTAACTTGGATTTATCGATAGATATTTATATCTATCGATAGATTAGTGTGATTTTAAAATTTTTTAAAAGGAATCTATTGATAAATCATGAAATCTATCGATAGATGGTGATTGTTGGAGCTTAGAACAAACTGCAAAATGGTTATTTTCACATTTAATGTAGCTCTAACCACCTCTGATGCTTCAGTAACTATAAATACAAGCTCTCATCACATTTATAAAAGTTAGAAGACTGAGAAACACAATTACAAAAAAAGAATTTTGCTCAAATCATTCAATACTTTTTGTTCTACTCTTCTAACATTTAAGTTTTTTATTATATTATTTATTGAGTTTTTATTTTCTCACCAAACATTGTATTTAATCTGCTACTCAACCTTTAAAAGCTATTCTAGCTGCACTTATCTCTTTTATTGTATTCCTTTGAGTGGTTATATCGTAATTGATTGAAAAGGTAATATTTGAATGGATATACCTTAACTAAGATAAACAGTAGAGTAGTTGCACTTCAACCATAAAAGGTATTGTATTGAAAAGTTGTGCTTCATCCACAAAAGGCATTGTATTGAACTTTATTTCAATAGTGGATTTAAAATTTTTTAGTAAGTTAAGCAAGACAACATAGACAAGGTATAAAATTCTTGTGTTGTTCAATCTTTTCAATTTCTTTCAAATTGTTTTTGTGTTAATTCATCCCCTTTTACAAAAATTTTATTGGTCTGTTTTAATTCAAAGAGTATCTTACTCAAGAAAATTTTAAAAACTTCAAATTGAAAGGCTTTTTTCAAAGATTCCAATTCACCTTTTCTTAGACTTATTCACATTAAACTTATTGCACTAAATATAATATATATATATATATACATATATAGATATATTCTGCTATATGTAATCAATAATTGATCTTTATTGTTTTTGGAGAGCATAATACTTTAAAATATCTAAACTATTAAGAAAAAAAATCAAATAATCAATTATTTTTTAATTGTATTCAATCAAATATTTTTATTTTTATTTTGAGTCAAATAAACCATTATACTAATAATCAAAACATTATTTGTCATTTTATATCATATGATGCTGATGTGATATGTTGATATGTTGATATGTCTTAATGGATGGTTATATGATATGATGACTTGGTCACGTGACATTCTCACTCTCCACTTCAATACCATATGAGTGCATCATGAACATATAAAAATGATAAATAACATTCTAACTAATGGCAGTTAGTTATCCATTAGTTATAAAGTTTTATTTATTTAAAATAACAATATAAAGACTTAATTGAACATAATAAAAAAATAAAATTTATTTAATTTTTTAAAAATAATTTAGAAATTATTTAAAGTGTTTATGGAAACAAAACAACTTAGTCTTAAATGAGGAATGAAGTTTATAAGAAAACGTTTATCAAGTTTCACCAAATTCAAATAAATGTCAAAGGTCAAACATTTAATACCCCATGTAGAAGGTGCGTTTATTTCATGGTAGAACAAAAAAAGTGTGACATTTCATTTTCACCATAATGACATTTGTTATACACACTTTCGAAGACGCATGAGGCTGTGAGGCAAGCAACCTTTCTAAGCATAAATATAGCAATAAATGAATGAGATTTAACAAAATAAAAAGAAAAACTAGGATGTCAACGGATAGGGTATTCATTAATTTTGAGATACCTAATCTCGAATCCGATTACAAAATGAGATATCCAAATCTTATAATTATTCGAATATTTTTTAAATTTATTATCCTAACTTGCATCTTAATACATATCCATTACTTGATAATTACTCGTATCTATTTAAGAACCTGATTATGTAAAAAAATTATTAAACTACCATTTATGGGTACCTAGTTATCTAAGCTAGAATTTGTACATGTATCTATATACAATAATATTTTCATTCATATTCCATATAATTCACTAATAATAAAATTTATAAAAGAACACAAATAATAAAATTTAAATTTAAATAATAAAAAATAAATATCTCCAATATCAACTTAAATAACTAAAAACAAATATTTAAACAACATTATAAGTTTAATTAACTATATGGGTTTATCCTTAATTACATGAAATTTAAAAAAAAAGTTCTAAAACCATTCTAATATCACAACTTCTCTTTAGGTATATATTTTATAAGGTTACATAAATAAAGGTATATATATTATAATTAATAATTTTATAAATTATAATTTTTGTAACGTTAATACAAAATGGGAAGTAAATATATTTATATTTAAAATATATATATATTAAAAGTATATATATATCTATAATAATAATTATATTCTTTATAAATTAATACAATATATAGAGTATATATAATAAAAGATATTATGAGTTAATTAATAATCATAGTTTCATGAAATAATTTAATTAACAATATATATTTATATTTAATTATATAAAATTAAAAAAAAATAATGGAGATTTGAGTATTAGGTACCCAAGAGGTGATATTTGAACCCGATACGAGTAATAAAATTACTAACCAAACTTAATTGTAAGATATCTTAATCTTATACTATCATATCGGATAGCCGCGGGCAACTTGCAACAAGACACCCAATATTGTCAAGTGTTCAACAAAAATACAAGCAACTGTTACATTATAATATTAGAATAAAGACACAATAATGGAAAGGGCAAAAACAGGCTCAAATTGCTCTCAAAAAGTTTTAATAAAAAAAGGAAAAGAAAAACTCCAATGATATGGATGTGTTGGTAGTTGCCCGAATCTGGTTGAAAATGAGTCTGCTGGAGGTGGGTCGAGGCAGTTGGACGGTGGATGGATAAGAAACATCTTTCTCTTCTTCCCCGTATGGACTGTCCCTTAACATTGAGGCACATCCTATGACAACAGGATTTCATCATTTTGTACTTTAAAATTAACTTCTCTCTCACTCCCTCTCTACTTTCAATCATTCAACATTTTCTATACTTTCTTGCTTCTTCTTTCAGGGTGAGCGAATCCAAGGTCCTCCTCCTTTCTTTCTTGCTTCCCAAACACCAAACCCAAATCAGAAATTTACTACACTTGCCCTTTCATTTTCTGCAGGGAAAGGCGGCTCCTCGTTGAAGACTTTTTCCCTCTATTAAGCAAAGGTTCAGATAAAAGGATAACTAGTAATATTTTTACCATTAAAGGGAAAGGCCACAATAAAGTTATTTGAAGTTACAAGATTGTTGAAAAGAACCACTCTACTTAGGATATATGCAATCGGAACTAAGTATTTCTATGCATACATCGATCATACTATATATGGATAAAATCCAAAGGTATTAAGTGTTATAGGTATTTCATACTACTATTATCGAAATAATAATTCTTATAGTATTTTCGTAAATCTTAGAATCTATAACTCCTAGTACAACATTTATGATTGATATGATTCTTTAACTTGTTAATCAAATCAAATGTCATTGGGTTTGTACGACCGTCGTGGTTCACCTTTTGGTTCTTGGGTTTGGGTCAGACACAGTTTGGAAAGATTAGAGTCGGGTGCTCGTGCCTCCCTGTTGGTTGATTAAATTAGAGTGATGGGCACATTAAAAATTGTCAGAAAATTTTGGAAAAAAATAAAGGGGAAAACCATATCTTATCCAAGCATTTTTAAGGGCCACATATTCTTTAATTTTTTTCTGGGCACAAATGCTTATATGTGACACAGGCCGTCATTCTTGCATTATTTGATTTGATTATTGATCTGAACTGAATAGAACTTAGAAAGAAAAATCAAATAGAATTTTTTTTTTTTTTTAGCTTCATCATTATTTTGACAAAACAAATGAATCACAATAGTAAACATGCCAATACAATCATTGCACTACATTTTCTCTTGAAAAGGACAAGTTAAGCCAAACTCTCTAGGTTGTATCTCCATCATTCAATAGTTAAAAATGGATTCGAAAATTAAAACCCAGTAATGATAGATAGTAATTTGAAAAGAGAAAAACATTAGAGAAGAAAATGATAAAAGAAGCATGCATGGTACGACCTTAAGACGTGGCAAGGGCAGAGCGTGCCATGTTGGCCAGTGAACCGACAACATAAAAATTCGGGCCGAGATGTTCAGGTGGGGTCCCACTTACCTTCCCCAGCACCAAATCGCCAGTCGCCAGTCGCCAGTCGCCAGTCGCCAGTCACCAGTCACCCACCCCCTCACTCCTTTTATTTAGTGCTGCCCAGGTGGGCTCTTCTTCCCAAACTCTTTCATTACCATTACCCATTAAACAACCCTCTCAAACTCCTTGCCTCCTTGCTCCCGACCTTGGTCCATAGTTCCCAGTACTAAATTTCATTCACTAATTAATTACCCCTACAATAAACTATTATTAGCACCATACTTGTAATTATATAGAATAAAAAAAAAAAAAATTCTGCTCCATTTCACTTTGCCTACAAATATATTAAGTGAAGCCAACCAAATTTGGCATTGACTATATTATAAATGGTGTGCAAATAAATGGCTCCCCTCCCCTGCGTCTATTTGGTATTAATTACTTTCTGGTTGATCTACTTACTGATCTCTCATAGTAAAGTTGTCAGTGAAATTGGTTTTTACATGATTTTCACATTTCATATTTAATATATCGACAATATATAATAAAATAATTTAATTATGTATACATGAAAACATGTCTCGAGGTTGGTAATTATAAGGGTTTCATCCACATTTCAATTTTAAACTTAAAAAACTAGTGGGATCATTACTCACTTGTAAGATCTATCGAGTGCAAAGAATGATAGCTGCAATCAACAAATATAGAATAGAAAAAGGAAAGGATCTTATCCTTAGCTCATTCAATTCAACTACTATCAATTTCATGTCCCTCGTGTTGTCGATGGAATTCCAAAAAATAAAAAATAGAAAAAAAGAAGGAGAAATTTAAGGGTTTTGTACCCACCAATTATAAGAATTTAAAGTTGACATTGTGTTTGCTTCAAAGGTATCTCATTCATTTTACACCAACGTTGACATTGTCCTTTCATCCAGTAATAATGTGTGCAGAGTCCACTAATTACCTCAATTCAAGCAGCAGGCATTTTGTCACGACAGAATTCAGAAATCAAGGCGTTATGCTGAACGTGTAATCAGACAAAATCCATGAAGGTTTGTACGAGACCGAAAACTCTGAAACATGCAGTAGTATCCGTTCTGCCTTTTTCCAAATTTTAAGTGGAAATAAATAGTAACTGAAGTTTATTGATGACACTAGTTAAGATAAAGGTGATATTTGTAACAAAAAGTATTATAAGTCAATTCAGTATCTCTTCTTAAATTTAATAAGAATAATACATTAAATAAAGAAAAATTATTTTTCTTTTAATAATATTTTGGCTAACCATAACTAATACCTACCACTTGCATATTTCTCCCGGTGTTAACTGAAGAGCTTCGCAAAAGAAAATAACAACATACCATATCATCATGGCCAACGACGCAAAGCAAAATCAATCTCGCAAAGGCTCACAGAGTTGGGTCCAATCCCTACATGGGCCACCTTGGCCATAGATGTTCGTTTGCATGTATGGGTACAGGCTCCATTTGTAACTATCATGTGCATATGGAAAATGGATGATTACAAAAGAAGCTGTAAGTGAATTCGGAGTGAGACAGATCAATCGATGGTTGATATTCATTTTGCCATATGCATCAAAAGAAATCAACTAGTCAAGAGTTATCTCAACAAATCGTAATTTACATGGCCAAATTAATTAAAGCCAAAGCAAAGAGAAGAGCATTACATCATCAAACATTAACACTGCAAAATTCTGACACGACTCCCATGTTGAAACTCTCTCAGCAAGGGAATGATTGGAAACTCCAGTAATAATATCAATCCCTATTTGTCAAACTCCCATATGACGCCCCCATCCTCTGCAATTTTAGGGCAAAAGAAACATTAGCAATAGCTCTACCTCAAACTGCAAATGCATGCTTTGCCAAACCAAGAATGAGGTCCTTGACTTACTCCCAGAAACAAGTGATACCCCACAGTGTTTTCATGACAATGTTATTTTGCAGGCCATTTTGTTGACTGCCATGCACACCCTTCATACCATGGTATAAGGTGTGCACAAGGCCTTCCCCTTTCTTTCAAGTCTCTTAGGAAAATTAAGCTCATGCTTTTCCCGCTCTATTTTCTTAGGATATGTATCCCTATCATGTAATTGAAGAAAAGAGTTCTACACTGGCCTCAACCATTGGAGACTGTTTGCAGTTACAATTTTTCTCTAAACTGATCTCATGTAAGCAACCAATAGGCTTTTTATTTTTTTTCTTTTTAAATAATAATAATACCGAAAGTTCAAATGGATCATGCCACATATCTTGCAGAGATTAAAAAGATCCCTCTTCACTTGTTCTAAGAGAAAGAAGAATGAAGATAAAGTATCTTTGCGTATACCTTTAATTTTCTTGTTTATCCAGACCTCCAGCAGCATCCCAGCACCAATACCACCAGCAATACATGCTCCATAGAAGGCAATAGCAGAAGGCAGGGGCATTCGAGGAAGAAAATAACAATCTGGAATTTGTCTAATCTTCTTAGGAAGCCGCTTCTTTATAACTGGTTTACCACCAGCACTGGGGTCCTTCTGCAACTCACTACCGATTGCTTTCCAGTCAACCCCTTTCAATGGGTCCTTTGACTCTTCAGTTCCCATCAATGATTTGATTATAAGCTCAGATCTTTTGAATCACAAAGAATATAAACCTCTGATGGAAAAGCAACCTAATAGAAGAAAAGCCACAAACTATTATAGCAATGGTATCAGGGAGATGAGGCAAGGGTGCCTGTGTGCACACACAGAGAAATAATTGGCAGCATATATGCTCCAGAACAGCCAGTACACCCATTTGCTGGTTAATGGAACATTTGAAACTACCTGTAAGCTTAATCCTATGAATCTTAATTCATGATAAATTAGTTATTAGCCAACCCTGAGGTTGCCAACGTAACCCAAGTGCCATGATGAAGATTACGAACTTCAGATGTTAAGAAGAAAAACGAAGCAACAATCTAATAGGTCTTAACCAAGTCATCAACTAAATTCATGCATTACTACCGACTATAACTTTTAAAAATCAGTGTTGCTAAGATAGTACTGAAAGAATAAATTTTTGTAACAGTGAAGAACACATGCTCAGAGGTGTATATATATGTTGAACATTTCAAGGCCAAATAGAAGCAGCAACTGAGTCAAAAAATGGAAAACAATCTAAATTGTTTATCATCCCAAAATACAATCAGGATTTCCAAGAGTGTTTCCAGAATTCACAGAAACATGCAATTGCAATCTGAAGCTTCTACAGATTTTAATTAAAAATAAAACAAGAGATGGTTTTGAATACAATCAGTGAAATTACTTTGCAATAGATTGATAGGAGCAGGGATCGCTAATTTGGCATCGAAAGACAGAGAGATTTGAAAGATTGAAACTTGAGGAAAGATTTAGAGGAAGATAGGATTGGTGTTTCTAAACTTGTTTTAATTAAACATAACTTCCTCTTCTTGGATTAAATGGGGCCCGATCAAAGAAATGAAATGAGAAATCAAATTCATCCTTAACGATGCACAGAAGAAATCAGATTCATCCTTGATAGAAAGTTAATATTTGACTAGCTTCCTTCTGTTACAAATATGTAACTTCAATGAATAATATCAATTGCTAGTAAGGCGTTTAAGCATGACGAATAAAATGATGCTTTTGTGATCAGACGATGTGGAACCTCATTCAAATAATCTGAATTAATGTTGATAATTTTTCAGTGACAGAGTAACAATTGACAGATACAAGAAAGCATGTGCAGATGCATCAAACCAAGGATCTGTTGCTGAAGCTAACACTCAGGCAAGTTCAATATAATAAATGAAGTAAATTAAATGGTCTTCATTCACCAAATGGCTCGCTTTTTTTTTCCCTTTTCCATAAAAGAATTCTTACGATGCTTTTTCACCCTTTCTTGCATACCACATCCTTTACGACCCTTTTCTGCAAAATATTTTGCATTATAGAGCTTATAAACTAAGAACTGCTCCGAAAAGTAAAATTAAATTTGTCATAAACAGAAAAAAGGGAAATTAAAGAAAAATCAACCTTAAAAGCCTATTAGTCTAGGCGAACAATATCTTAATATTTTTACTCAACATGTTCATTGGAAACTATGGTAAGAGGCACCTTGATGACACGGTCTTCTGTTTTTGTCTTTGTCTATGATTCATTTCATATATCCTTGAACTTACACAAGTACAATTAGGAAATAAGGGCAAAAGGATTTTACAAACATCCTCAGTTCTTGCTGAAACTATTAGACTTCAAATTTCAAAATTAAAAGCACATTGAAACTTGAAATGAGGCATATATCTGAGAATATTAACCTGCTAATTCACTGAAATGAATGCCTCAGCTACGGACTCTCACAAAGCAGTGGAGGAGAGTGGATGCGAAACAAGCACGAAGCACAAGGCAGTGGAGGACGGCGGCAGAAAGAAAAAGACAAGGCTTCTGCGAAAAATAAACCGCTGTGAGGAAGTGGGGTTTTGGCAGGATCGTCTGGCGGAGGAAGGCGGAAGTGGAGCTAGGGTTTCTTTAGAGAGAGAGAGAGGGGGAGAGACAGGGTGAGGCAGACGTGAGCAACAGAGAGAGAGAGAGAGAGAGAGAGAAATGAGAAGAGAAAGCTTTTAGCATTTTTATATGGTTTTGTTTTAACAAAATAATCCAATGGCATGTTCCTTCCGGAGAATGGTAATTGTATTTTCCTTATTCATTAATATTCTTACCCTTGTTTGGTTGTATAGCTGTTACCGACCTCCCTCGATAATAGGTGTTCCATAAGTTAAGAAATAGACTGAAAAAGTTATTGGTGATGGTTCATGATATTATTATATATATGTTAAAACTTAATCTTAACATACAGAAGTTTTCATTTTTCAGTTTTTCTTTATCTCTCCACCTCATCCGCCTCTCACTATTTTTCTCTCTAAATTATTAATGAAATAAATTTTAATTATAAAATATTAATATTTTAAAAATAAAAATAACAAAAAAATAAAATTAAATAATCATATTAAATTTTAGATCCTGTAATTGATCCCGGAGATCCTTGGCTTAACTTTAGACCTCCGAAGTAGAGATGAACCCCACCCTAGAATTTTTCATTTTCATGTTATTCCCCAGCAAAACAGAACTGATGTGGCAACAACCTGCAGGCTCGCCTGCCCATGCCACCGCGGCTTAACTAAAGGGAAATTTTTTTTTAGCCCTCAAAAATAAAGTATTTTTTGAAATAGGCACCGAGATAATTTTAATTGTTTTTAACCACCATAGTAGATTTTGAAACAAAAATACCCTTAATGAGACATATTCGTTGAGGCGCACCATCAAATATGTAAAAAATAAAATAAATAAATATGTAAATAATTTACGAACTTATAATTTTGTGCAAAACATCCATTTTTTTTTTAGCTAAGCTTGTGTGAAGCAAAATAATGTTGCATGAGAAGGTTTTTTAGATATTTCAGACATGGTATTCAGATAATACGAGAAGAGAGATATTAAACCGATCGAGGAACCGGTCCTAATGAATCGAAAGCTTCGAAAATGATGTGCGACCAGAAATTCGTGATACGGTGGTGAATCGGAAGGAGAAAGATGTGAATCCAAAGCACGAAATCGTCGTGCTACAGCAGGGCATATGTGAGATTGCTGTGGCACGACAAGGTATAGAGTTTGTGACACGACTTGGAGGGAATATGTGAGTTGACATTGTTGATAATATGTGACACGACAGAGAATGTGGTATGAAACGACATGGTGGGAATGTGTGACAAGGCTGTGACATGGCAAGGTTCAGAGTTTGTGACACGCCATGGAGGGAATCTGTGACATGCTAGAGTTCAGAGTTTGACACGTCATGGAGAAAATCTATGACACTCTAGAGTTCAGAGTTTGTGACACGCCATGAAGGAAATCTGTGACACACCATGAAGGGAATCTATGACACGTCAGAGTTCAGAGTTTGACTCGCCATGGACGGAATCTGTGACACATCAGTGTTCAGAGTTTGTGACACGACATGGAGGGAATCTGTGACACGCCAGAGTTCAGAGTTTAACACGCCATAGAGGGAATCTGTGACATGCCAGTGTTCAAAGTTTGTGACACACCACGGAGGGAATTTGTGACACGTTAGTGTTCAGAGTTTAACACGCCATAAAGAAAATCTGTGACAAGCTAGGGTTCAGAGTTTGACATGCCAGCATTCACGGCTTGTGACACAGTAACGTTCAGGGTTGTAACACGCCAATGAGGGAATCTGTGACATGCCAAGTGTGTGTCAGACGCATGAGTTGAAAATGTGACACGACATGGTTTGAAAATGGAAGAAAAAAAAAGCAGGCAAAAAAACAAGGAAACCTATTCGACTTGCATTGAATGAATATTATAAGGCCATCTCATTTTAAATTAAATATTTTTCAGAAATCACAAACGTCTGTATGAAGGGTTCTCAGAGAGTTTGGTTCATTCTTCATTTGCAAAGGTACTATAGAGTCGGACTTCGTTCTTTGCAAGTTTAACAAGATGAGAGCAACAATGTCGGTTATCAGTGAAGAGGTCAGTCAGTCTAAAATTAAAACTTTCTTCTGTTCTTTACTTTTTTGCTAGGTTAGTTTGATATGTTCGCGTTATTGCCTTTTTGAAATTGTTATGTTAAATTAGTTTAAGAGAAAATTATGTTTAGTTTAGTTTAAGGTGATTTTTGAAGTGTTATTGCCTTAGTTAAACTGTTTTCTTCCCAGTTTTATGGTCTTATGGTCATACCAAAGCTTTGAAGGAGTTTTGCTTCTGCATGGCGTGTCACGACATTTGACTTGATATGCATGGCGTGTGACCACATTTTACTTGTTATGCATGGCATGTGACCACATTTTACTTGTTATGCATGACGTGTGACGACCTTTTACTTGTTATGCATGCCGTGTGACCACATTTTAGTTGTTATGCATGGCGTGTGACCACATTTTACTTGTTATGCATGGCATGTGACCACCTTTTACTTGTTATGCATGGCGTGTCACTACATTTTACTTGTTATGCATGGTGTGTGATTACTTTTCACTTGTTATGCATGGCGTGTAACCACATTTGTGCCATATTTTGCAGATGCAGTCCAGACAGTATGAGGATCTTGACAGTAGCCTTATTGTGCCAAGGAAGAAATGGGCGTTCAATGTCTCGATTAATACCCATTGTAAGTGGTCGCAACTGCATTACATTAGCAAGACTCTTTAAGAGAAAGGAGAGTATGATGCAGTCAAGCAACCGTGCTTCGAAATGCTGCTGGACATATATCCGCAAGGCTACTTTTACGCTGGACTCTTGCATAACATCATAATTCATTGAATCAGAGAGAGAGATTCAATGAAGCATGAGCTATGGTTTGCCATTGGCAAGAGCAAGGAACATATATTGAAGTAGGAGTTCTGC